GGGCTCTCCTTCACTTGGCAGTCCTACCACAAGCCTTATAAGTGGATACTATGCATGTTCTACAAACAACATTTTCCCACATGGGTTTGATTTGCAAAAAGTACAAAATTGGGTGGTAGAGCAAGAACAACTAAAGTGGACATCAGTGTTCATGTAGGGGAATTTTGATACAGCTTGCTCTGTTTGGCTGAGGTGATAAAATGATTTATGGAGGAATGATTTCACCATACAAGTATTACTGGTCAAGGATGAGGTTATAGGTGGTACATGTAAATGCAAATAGGCAGGTACAGGTGCATACATTCACTGAAGACACAAATGCAGATAACTCTTCAGACATGAGCAGACACTTCCAACATTTGATTAACAGTAGTTGCTGTCATTGGGACAGAATGATTTTCCTTACTCAGCTGCAAAGTGATCATTTATTCAATAGAAATCTTAACCAAAAATGTACTGGTCTACATGTGAACTGTGTTCCTCTGGTACTGCATTAGCACATAGCTGCCTGAACAGTTGCTTTTCAACTTGTACTATTTTCTACTTGTTGATATTTTAACAGCTATTGTGTGTCCAGTGGTGCTGTGTTACCAGCAACCAGCAGTACCTTGACATTTCTGATTCTAGTTCTGAAGTCAGTACTTGGCAGTTAAAGGCATGTACCTTGAAGTGTATGAAACACAAGATACTTCATTAGCCCATAAGTTCAGAGCTAACCTTAATATGGCCTGTACAAACACAAAGTTAATTAACTAGGGTATGATTTGGATAAACTTCAATTAGAACTACTTGTACAGCAAAGACATAATTTTTTGTGTAATAAGCGATATACCTCTCCTAAAAGCACTACCAACTTCTGGGCACAGGAGATTAGCAAGCCTCGTTCAAAGGTGGTTAATTATATAATTCCTTGTCAGGTCTTCTGTTCTGTTATTTAAACAGGAAAATAGTTGCTGTGATTTCTCCCCCCCCCCCAGCATATTTTAATAGTGTTATTTTTACAGCATTGTTTAATGCAGAAGAAAACATGTTACTATGCTTCTCCTTCCCCCAACCAAAACCAAAATCTCTTTGGTTAATCTATGGCTGGATCCCCAATTGAAGTTGAAATGCAGAAATCTTAGCCAGAGAAAATTTTCTCTTGTTTGGGCTCTTTGTAACTACAGATCTGTTTGCTACCTCTTGGAGCTGTAAACTTAATAAGACTGGATGGATCATATTCCCTATTACACATTTGCAAATACTTTAAACTTATGGAGAAAAAAAGGATACTTTCAGAAGTCTGATAAAACTGTTAACAGTTTTAATGTTTTATGTAGTCTTGATGTAATCTTATTTAAAACATGAATATTAACCCCCAAACTCTTTGAGAGTTAATTGATAGGATTAAAAATAATTGCAGGGCTATAGGAAACATTCTGAATGCATGCTAGTAACATAGGCAGTTCACCCTGGATCAGGTAATCTGTGCAGCTAGAAACTAGGAGTTTCTTATGTCCTCAGAGTACTAAAATCCTTACTATCCCTATCCTAACAATTTTTAAGAAAAAGCCCATGGGCTTTAAGTTGGACTGCCTGTCATAGCTCTAATTTAGACTTGTGAGATTCCTGTAAAGTATGGCTGCAGGCTCAGAGGAAGACTTAGTAAGAAGTCTATACATCTGAAGGAGGATTAAACAAAATTGTGTTTAACTGACACTTAATTTTTTATTACCTTAACATTCCATTTTGGGCAGCATGGATATTAACCTTCTGAAACCTGGCATACCAGCAGATGAGGGGGACTATTAAACAGTTAATTACCTCCATTGGCAAAGAAGTCTCTTTAGTCTGTACTTTTGCCTCCATCCATTTTGTTAGCTTCAACTCAGCACAATTCAGCAGTGGAGGAAACATTCCAAGGAAACTGAAAATGGTCCTTTCACATGCCCATTCCACCAAGAGCCAAAGTTTGAATAGAGAAGATGATTGCCTTTAAGAAGTAACCACTGAGGAAACTGGCAAGTGACAGTTAAAAATATGGAAGTCTGAGGTGTTTAACCTCATACAAGTTAGAATCAAGACCATTATTTACCCCTGAGGGGTTGTTAATGTAAACCAGCTCCTGTTTAGAGAAAAATTCAGAGCAAACTTACACAAAAAAAGGTTACACTGCCCAGGCACTTGCAGGTAATTGGTGCACTTCAGGAGAAACCACAATTAACCAAGTGCTTGTTCGTTCACCTATAACAGGGACTGTGTCTTAAAGGTATTTGAAAAATACAAGGAAAGGAAAGGAACCATTTTATAGATCTTTTATTCTACATATTTATAAAGGTAACACTTTTGCCTGGGAAATAGTTTTCACCCAGTCACCACATAATTAAAAGCATTAGGTTGAAGTATGAACTCATAATAAGGTCTGGTAGGATTAGTAATACTGGGGTCCAAGATGGAGGAGTCTCACCTTTCTGGAGGAATTCTGTGAACCCAACTTGGAACAGAAATGGTAGACAAAGGTCAGCAGATAGGATCTTACTCCCTGCTTCAGCCACATTTTTAGTATACTCTTGGTGAAAATGAAAACGGTCCATTTTGATGGTTTTTCAGTCACAATACAGATAGTCACAGTGAACAAACAGTTCACCACTATGCACATCCCAGTTTGCTCAAGGGCAGGCCTCAAGGAGGTTGAGAAAATGGTGAAAACTTACTTCATCTATGAAAAAAGTCTGCAGGTTTATTCAAAGTAAAAACTGATTTTCTTAAATTGCTCACAGCAACCAACTTTAAACAACAGATTCTCTTACATTGATCTGCACACCCAAAAGCTGGTCCTTCCAGACTGATTCTAGTTGATTTTTTTTTTGAGACAGAACAACCTCCCTCACTGCTAGCCTGAAGGGAAAGAAAAAAAAGTAGTTGCTTTGGGAATTCAAAAACAAAACAAAAAACTATCACCTAGGTGGTGGCTGGAGTGTCCTTCCACATTGTGTAGGAAACTGGAGAACTTGTATCATATACCAGAGGGCTTCAAAAAGTTCATGCTATCTTTCAATTCTATTTTCTTTTGAACTTTCTGAAGCTTTCTCATACAGTGTCTCTGAGAATAGACATGTAGTTTCTAATACAGGGATCTGGTTATAAGTTTTTTTTAAAAAGTCACTTTGGCATTTGGACATTTCTCTTAGGGAACTTCTGTTGAGTCCTCAGGTGCTCCAGAGTAAACTGCAAGTGGTCCTTTAAAATGCATCTGTGTTAGACAGCTACCAAAGAACTGAAAGGCAGAGGGTGGAGAGAAGGCTACTGTAGAAAAGGGATAACTTGATTTTTTAAAGAATTCAGGGTCTTTGTTCCTACCTAGCCTTACTAGCATTTTGCTTGAAGTTTAACTTGGTTAAAAGCTGTGTACTAACCATCACCATGTCTTTGCCTGTGAAAGGAGGCCTTAACAACCATTCTAGAAAAAGGTATGTTTAGTAAAAATAGTTGTTAAGTACCATCTTTTGTTGTTATTAAGTGCCACCAAGTTAGTGACCCTGTATTGGGTTTCTGAGGAGGAGCAGCTGGTGAATTTGAACCACCGACCTTGCGGTTCAAACTGACTTTGTGGTCCAGTGAATTTTCCTACAGCACCACACCAGGACTCCTTCTGATTCTTAGTGACCCTGTGTAAGATTTCCAAGGAATGGCTAGTGAGTTTGAACCACTGACCTTGCAGTTGGCAGTCCAGTGCTTATCCTTACAGTGCCACACAGGGTCAGCCAAAATGAGGGAAACCCTCCATGAGCTGAGCCGGATCGATACGGTGGCTACAATGGACCAGTGACCACGAAGATGGTGTAGGAGTGGGTGATATTTTGTTCTGCTGTGCATAAGGAGGCCATGAGTTGGAGCTGACTAGATGGCACTGACCACTTCTACTACCTGTCCCTCCTCTGTGCCTGACCCTCTCTTTCATGCTGCAAGCCACACAATCTTGAACTGGGTTCAACAGCAGCCTTTTACATAGGCAGGACCCTGCCTTGGTGCAGCCTCTTGCTCTTTGAGACAGGTTCAAAGTTACACATGTACTCATGTGGATGAATTTTGATTCATACAAAACAGCAATTATGTAGGGCTCTGGGCTGTAAAAAAAAGGTACTGAAAAAATGCTTCTCTGCTCTTGAGGGAACGTCTGATAAAATATTAGTTCCACTCTACTTGCCAATGAAATAATTTCAACTCTTAATTCTTGACTGCATTGAAAGGGCAAAATCCGAGAGTCAAGAATTCCCTTTGCATCTCCTGCCTCCAGTATGAAAGGTGAACGATTTTATTCTCTCAACACAGAACTGTTCAGGCATAGCCTTAGGGTTAGACTACTTGTAACATCAACATATCTGGGAACATAAAGACCCATGCATTTTCCTTCCAAGATCTGCTACTTCACAACAGAGCCATGTACGTGAAAACTGAGTGATAATCTATGTTTTAGTTGAGCAGGGGACTTGAAAACCAAAGCCTTGAGTATGCAAATCAGCTGTTCTGTTAGATGCTGGTAGTGTGTGTGTGTGTCAGTTTTTCCCTGAAGGAGAATTTAGGGATACCAGAAGATAACCCCATTATTTACCAAAACGAAAAGCAAACAACAACAACAAAAAGGAAAACTGTATAAAATAAATGGCTGTGATTCCACTGATACACAATCTCCAGGACACAAAAAGAATGAGAAAGCGAGTGCTGAAAGTGAAGGCAGGTACTACCGCTGTGCACAGCACACAGAGCACATGTGTACATGCCATCTGTGGACCTGGCTGGGGAGGAACAGTATCCTCTCTGGATACAGTCTACACAATGTTGGCTGGGCTGCTTGCCCCCAGGGGCTGAATCTATGACATTCTATTGTCAAAGTGCTGACCTACCTGGCCAACCTTCCCTTATTTGATTCTCCCCAAACAGATACTCTGCCCCCAGGGGCCGTCCTCCCCTTGGTGGCCTGCTACAGTTGAGCTTCCACAGGCAGAATGTCTGAAAGCTTGTTAGAGTGAAGTTTCATTGGTGTGTGGCCTTGAGTTCTCTTCCTCCAGCAGAGCTATTCTTTGCTTAAGCATCCTCACTTGGGTCTCATGTCTTTCCACCATGGCCATCATCTGAGACTCCAGCTTCTTCAATTTGTTTAGATGTTTCTTCTTTGCTTTTTCATAGGCAGCCACTAGGTTGCTATGTGGGAAAGGGGGAAATGAGAATCAAGACTCAACTGAAGTAGCAATGAGAAACAGTCTGTCCCACTAGGTAAACAGGAGTAGTAGAAGACAAGGCCACTCAGAGTCTTCCTAAAGAGGCTGAAATCCGGTGGACAGACACGGCTCCAGTATGTCAGCACTCAGGTCATTCATCACTGGCTGAACCCTGATTAACTTCATCCCAACTGCTAGGATTTGTCACTAACACCTTAGGAAAGGGTTTGCATGTGAGTCAAAACAAATTTGCCAAACCCTAAGTACATAAGCAGAAAACTGAATTCCAGAGAGGTGTTATTAAATAAATGTATGTTAATAAGTATGTTAATGGTAGTTTGCAACAACGGTCAAGTGTAAGTTGCAGGAGCAAGTCCTCAGACTCAGCAGTCTAACTGACTTTACCTAGTACCAGGGCAGAGAGGCTCCCCTTGTTCTGACTCCCCTTAATTTTGGGGCTGGTGGGGTTCACAGCATTCATATTTCGACCATAAGCTAATCTTTCTAGTTAGGGAACATACCCCTATGTTAAGTATCCCCCTAGGAGCTATGGCAGGACAGCTAGGGGTGAGCCCAGGGCAAGTTCAGTGACTTTCTCTGGTCCCATATGATAGCCTGAGTTCATTCCATGGATTCCTACAGCAACAGTTCTGAAAGCATGCTTTGACTACCCTTGGGGATCCCTATGAGTCTTCCAGGGGGTCCTTTATTTTTCAACCATATATCTGTGTGAAGCAGAGTTTTCTTGACATACTTCAACTGAAATAATAAATACATTGAGTCCAGAAGCAGATGTGAGAATCCAGATATTTTCTATTAAACTCAGAAATTCAAGAGATTTGCAAAACTGAAATAGTTGTTGTTAAGTGCTGTCCAGTCAGTTCCTACCAATAGCAACCCTGTAAAGGGTTTCCAAGGAGCAGTGGTGAGCTTCAACCACTAACCTTGTGGTTCAAACAACTTTGCAGTCCAGCACTTTAGCCAACAGCACAACACACCAGGACTCCTATATACTTACTATAAATATATAGTAACCAAACTTTATCTGTGGTTACCAGGGGTTGGGAGTTACTGCTTAGAGGGCACTGAGTTTATACTAATGATAGTGAAGTAATTCAGAAAAGGAGCATGAAAATGGTTTTACAGCATGAAGAACAGAATTGGTGTCAATTATCCAAGTAAAAACTGCTGAATTGGCAAAAAAAAAAAAAAAAAAATTGTTTTTGTTTTTTTTTTAAACTGTAATGAATAAAATAGTTCTAGTCTTCTAATCTTGTTTGGAAAACTGTTGTAAATAAAAATACCTTTTGTGTTACAAGTAAATGTATTATCTGAAAATTCATACAAAAATGTTTAATTTGTCCATTTTAATTTCTAATACAATAAAGATCAATAAATAAAATTTACATAGACAAAAGCTCTTTTGAGGTCCTTGCTATTTTTATGAGTGTAAAGGGGTTGTGAGGCAAATGTTTTGAAACTGCTGCCTTAGAGCAGTGTGTCCTAATGAGTTCCACCAGTATTGTAAAGTTGCTCAAATAAAGGTTCAGTAGCCAACTTCATTTGAAAAACATTGGCTTAAACAAATTTAAACAATTTGTTGTTGCTCTTTGTTTTTTATTGTATGATTTCTCAGAATGGTTACTACATGAAACATACCACATGGGGATCACAGTATGCAATGTTTTTACAAACATTTAGCCCAAGGACCTATCAGTACCAAGCTTTTCTTAGATTTGTACTGTGGAACACTGGAAATGCTGCTAAGGAAGACCAGGCTCTGAAAGGGGGAGTGGAGGAAATACCACTGATTCTCAGGAGGTGTGGAAATGTGTTCTGAATGCAGTGTCTACATGTGACTTCAATCTAAGTACCTATCTACAAATGGAAATTTTTACCTGTTGGCTCGTTTTAGGTCATTAACGAACTCCGCAGATTGCTGGTGTCTGATCTCACTGCTCTTGGTGAGTCTTTCTAAGGCACTCACCAGCTCTTGAACTCTGGCCTTCAACTTCTTTTCTCTGCATTAAGGAGAGATAATGCAAGTTGATTAACTTTAAATGGTAGTAGGGGTGGATATTGGATAGTAGGAAGGGAAGGGGGAAGAGCTAGCTTAACCAAGTCAAAAGGCAAGGATATGAAAAATAAAACTACTAAAAGTCAAGGGAGGGGAACACAGTGGCTCTGTATGATAAGCACTGGACCGTGAACCGAGAGGTCAACAGTTTGAGTCCACTAGCCACTTCACAGAAAAAATATGAGACTTTCTGCTCCTGCAAAGATTCATAGCCTCAGAAAGCCTACACAGGGTTGCTATTAACAACATCATCACTTAACAACAAAGAGTCAAGAGTGCCAAAGGAATCCTTAAAGCTGCATTCTCAAAGGTCAACTGAGCCCCTGGTAAGAGTACTTGTTGTTAAGTGCCATTGAGCCAATTCTGACCCATAGCGACCCTGTATGGGGTTTCCAAGGAGCAGCTGGTGAGTTTGAACCGCCAACCTTGCAGTTCAAATGGCTTTACAGTCTGGTGCATTAACCCACAGTGCCATACCAGGACTCAAGCGTACTGAGAAGATATCTTAAATATACGTCAGAAAGGAATAAGGTGATGGAATTGAGGACTCAGGACCATAGTCTCTGGGATATCATGGCCAAATGGCATAACACAGTACACAAAAACAAATGTTAAAAATCCAACTTTTGTGAGTAATAACTGGGATCTTAAAAGTTCACGAGTGGTCATCTAAAGTGCAACCATTGATCTCTCCCTATTGGAAGAAAGAAGAATGATGAAGATTAAAGACACTTGGAAATAGTCCAGTGGACTAATGGGAGCACATGAACATCCGTCTACATGACTCTGTAACCAGAACTAGATGGTGCCTGGCTACCACTATCAATTGCTCTGAAAGGGATCTCATTAGAAGGTCCTGGAGAGAGTGGGAGAAAATGTGAAACAAAACTCAAAATCAAGACTGGCTTACTGGTCAGAAAGTGACTGGAGGAACCCAAGACTTTTAGCCCCTTTGGAACTGAACTCACCCTTGGGGTTCAACTTTCAGGCAAAGCTGTAGAAAGGTATATACGGAGGAGAGCAACTATAGTGAGGTATGCACACCACAGAATGGTTAGTATTCAAGATCAAAAGGACAGCATTTACCTAAGGAAAAATTCATTGGGAAAAAAGGATGACTGGAAACAAGCACAGGAAGGAAATGAGATAAATTATGTTATATGGAGGGGATTGCACTTACTAAAGGTGTAAAATTGCTCTGTAAACCTTCACTCAATTCACAATAAAGTTTTTTTTTAAGGAATATAAAGGGATTCCAAAGACTTCACAAGAAAATTATTGGAACTTATTGAAAGATTCCACAATCAATAATACAAAAATCAGTTGGACTGCTATACACTAATAAAGACAGCTCTGAAAGGGAAGTTAGGAAAACAATACCATTTAAAATAGTCATGCAAAAGAGGAAAGATTTAGAAATCAATCTAACCAGAAAAACAAAAGACCTACACAAAGAAATCTATAAAACACTACAAGAAACCAAAAGAGACTTACAAAAATGGAATAAACCATGTCCATGTATACGAAGACTTAACATTGTAAAAATGTCAACACTACCCAAAGCAATCTATAATGTAATCCCAATACAGAATCCAGCATCTGTCTTTCAAGAGATGGAAAAAAATAATCACTAACGTTATATAGAAAGGAATGAGACCTTGGATAAGCAAAGCACTGCTTAAGAAGAACAAAGTTGGAGGCATCTTGCTCACAGATGTCAAAATTCACTACACAGCTACTGTGGTCAAAACATCTTGGTACTGGTACAAAGAAATAGATCAATGGAACAGAATTGAGAACCCAGAAGTAAATCTGTCCACATACAGTCAGCTGATCTTTGACAAATTGCCATAACACATTAATGGGGAAGAGAGAGTCTCTTCAACACATGGTGCTGACAAAACTGGAAATACATTAGCAGAAAAATGAAACAAGACCCATATCTCACACCATATACAAAAACAAACAACATGGATTAAAGACCTAAATGTATAACCTAGAACTATAAAGATCATCAATGAAAAAAATTGGGGCAAATTTAGGTGCTCTAATCCATGACATAAATACATTATCAACCATCGTTAAAAAAACATACAAACAGCGGAAGAAAAAATAGATGATTGACACCTCCTAAAAATCAGACATTTATGTGAATCAAAAGATTTCTATATTCAGAGTGGTAGTTACTCTAAATACCAACAGAGAGGGAAAAAGTCTTCAAGTATCAATGCTATCCGCTCTGTGCACAGGGTAGATAGGGATGGGCAACTTAGACATTGGCTATCTAAAATGAGGGGCAATAAAGGCATGAATTGACTGGCTTTCAAGGTTTCAAGAAGGAGCTTAGTTTAAGAGTGTGGGGGGAAAGAAAGAGTCCCCACTGAATAGCTGTCATCTTGTCTAGATGGGTCTGGTGAAAAGAGATGGGGATAAGATTCGTAAGATTCAATAGTGAATAACTGTTATCATAACTAATCGCAACTGTCACACTTGTAAAGGTAGAAGTTTTGTAACAAAAAAAGGGGAGTGGTTGAACTTACAGTCCAGAAACAGAGGACCCTAGGACCATCAAGAGAGGAACGCAGATAGGTGCGGGACCTTATCCAGAGAAGCAGCAGTGCCAGAGATGGAGGCAGAGATGGGGGCATGGAGAGGGGGAGCGGCTGAGGACTCTAGATTCATCAACTAAGAAGAGAAGGACTAAGAACTGGTGACAGGAGCAGACTTGCAGAATGTGGCCTTTGGAGATGTAAATTATTATATATACCTGGGTGGGTTTTTTTGTTTGTGTGTTTTTTAAAAAGCTAAAGTGGATAGGGAGAAATACTTTTAACTGATGGTATATGGGGGGGGGGGATTATAATCAATGTAATGAAACAAGTTATATGAATTGTTGAATATGAAACTGATGATGTGTCCTGTAAACTTTCATTCAATCCACAATAAAAACCTTAAAAAAAAAAACAAACATTTCTCCAAAAGAGTAAAAAGGGAGCCAGCATACTGGGAAAAATTGTTTTGCAACAACATATCAGACACAGAACTAATCTATGAAATGTACAGAAAACTGCAACACCTCTGTAAGAAAAAGACAACTCAATTAAAAAATGTGCATAGGACATGAATAGACACTTCACCAAAGAAGACATTGAGGCAACCAACAAACATGAAGAAATGTTCATGACCATTAGCCATTGTTAAGTGCTGTTGAGTCAGTTCCAACTCAAAGCGACTTTGTATTGGGTTTCTGAGGAGCAGCTGGTGAGCTTGAACCCCCGACCTTGCAGTTCAAACTGACCTTGTAGTCCAGTGCATTAACTCACAGCACCATAGCAAGACTGCATTGGCCATTAGAAAGATGCAAACCAAAAAATATCATCTCAAAGTTCAAAAATAACAGAAAACAACAAATGTTGAAGAGGGTGTGGAGACACTGGGATGCTCTTACACTGTTGGTGGGACTAAAATGGTTCAACCACAGTGTAAAATGCTGTGGTACTTCTTCAGAATGTTGGGAAATAGAAATACTGTATGACCCAGCAAACAAGAAATACAAGCCAGGACACGAGTAGGTATATACACACCAATGTTCACCAAAGCACTATTCACAACAGCATAAAGATGGAGACAACTTAAATGCCCATCAGTGGAAGAATGGATAAACAAACTTTGGTACATGTACGCAATGGAATATTATGCCACGCTGGAGGTTATGAACCTGGAGAACATTATACTGAATAAAATAAGTCAATCACAAAGGGCAAATACTGTATGAGACCACTATTGTAAAAACTCAAGAAAAGGTTTTCATACCAAAAGAAACATTCTTTGATTATTACCAGGGGTAGTAGGGAAGAAAGACTAGAGGGTAAATGTTATCTCATGTAATGGTGAGGGCAATATATAAGAAGGGTGAGGGTAACAGACAAGAAGAGGGAGGTTGGCAGAAGAATGATGAAGACAGGTGAAGACACAGGGAGGTATGCAAGAGCTAAAGGGATAGAGGTAACTAGTATACACAACCTTGGAACAACAGTGTTCCGTGTGTAGATACATGGACAGATACACAGGATAAATGGGTATGGGAGAAAGAGGGGATATATATATGTTGTTATTGTTGTGTGCCATGGAGTTGGTTCCGACTCATAGCAACCCTGTACAGGCTTTCCGAGGCAGCACATTTTTATGGGAGCAGAATGCCTCATCTTTCTCCTGCGGAACAGGTGGTGGTTTCAAACTGCTGACTGTGAGATTAGCGGCCCAATTCATACCACTATGATGTATGTGTGTGTGTATATATATATATATATTTTATATATCCCACATATATTTTGAAAGAGGATATTTATACATGGGTAACCACAGGGAGAAAGTGGGACAACTGTTATGTGGAGTGGATTGCAATCATTGAGATGAAACAAAGTGTATAATTTGTTTAATGTAAACGGATGAGTTTGTCTGGAAACCTTAACTCAATTCACAGTTAGAAAAAAGTATATGGTTCCTTTTCCAAGTCAAGATGCATAGAACTGATTGATTCTTCCTAAGTACTACATAACGTATCACTGAATAAATTGGTGATTGTTGGACACAATTTGTTCCACCATCAAATGTTTTTTGCCACTACAAATATTGCTATAATAAACTTCATCTTTGAGGGTGAAAAAAAGGGGGGCATCTGAGATAGGAAGTGACATTTTTTATGAGTATAAACCATACCAACTGCTTTCAAGATGATTCCAACTTATAGCGACTCTAAAGGACAGAGTAGAAAGTCCCATAGGATTTTCAAAATGGTAAATCTTTATAGAAGTAGACTGTTACATCATTTTCTTAGGGAGCAGGTAGTGGGTTGCAATTACTGACTTTTCAGTTAGTAACAGCATTTAAACCACTGTGCCACTAGGGCTTCTTCGCATTTTATAAAAACAACGAGAATTTCAC